TCCCCAAATTTGTCAGGAACAAGACACTTCCAATCGTTTTTTAACAGTATCACAATATCCAGAACGCACTTTATTAATGTGTTTATGTTTTTATCGATTTATTTCCAAGTTATTCCATTAAACAAACACAAAGAACCCACCACCAAACACGAAACCTTCCTGACGTTTGTTGATGACACTTGGCTTTGGCTGACAGCTGTCAGTCAGTTTGGAGTTTTTGACATTGTTGACAACACGAAAGCGTTTTGTTGCTGACGATGAACTGAATACTTTCAGAATAATTTGATATTTCTATGTTTAATACATTGTGAATAATTTTCTAAGTTTCTAAATAAGTAGGTACCTAGATCTATAAAATAAATTTTTCAACAAGACTAAAACATTGTGTGGTGATTTAACGCCATCTATGCTTTAGTCGGTGTACTTTAAAATGACGAATTTGAGTGTTTTATAAAAATCCGTAAGATGGCTCTTACTCCTCGTAACTTGTATAAACTTTTTTAAACAATGTTATTGGTAATTAATTTTGCCAGGCAGTATACTGGCTGGCCCATAATCAGGGTAGATTCAAATTCTAAGGACCGATCACTAGGTAACCTGCCTTGCGACTTGACCTTGCCCATGTAAGGAGGAAAAGCTTGGTAACAATAAAAATAACTTAGTTAATGACCATCCCCCACCTAATTACCTAACTATGCCTCCGTTTGGTAAGCACGACAATTTATTTACTTATAGGATAGATAGATAGATAGGTTTAAAATCATCGAAAGCCAAGATCTCACAATAAATTGCTGCAATGATTAATTCACTCATAAATAACTTAATATTAACCTACATAATTATATATTAATAAATCTAGAAATAACAAAACCTTGAGGTAGTTAATTATTTTATAATTTGGTTGCAATGATATTACAGAACTATAGATATGTTACGTTCATAGAAATTACGATTTTAATCCGTGCCGAGCTATTCCAAATTGCACACATTGACAAATGTAACTGATAAGTGAAACAAAAGATACGAAATAGCACGCAAATGAAAGAGATAGCTATAGTTTTAACGATTCTGCACTAACTAATCTATGTCCGCAGCGCACGCATCCTTATCGCTCTAACGTCAAAACAAGATCGCTTTCTCTTTCTTAACTTGAACATGGCGCATGACGCGATAGCATCTTGATTGTTTGCTTAAATAATTGAAAATATAAATACTAAATAATTTTGCATAATCACATGTGGTAAGAGATCCCTTGTATTTTGTTTACTTTAGAGTCATAATTATTGGTACACACACGATGGCATTTTTTATTTATTTTGGTAAGAACACAGGAACTTACGGTGTGGTACGCACGCGATTGCGCACGACACTGGCCACACGAAGACTAAACACAAGACGTCCCAATTGGGACGTATTTGAGTATTCACAGCGCGAGCGCTTATAACATATCTGCTTTTGTTTTTATATAATATCATTGTTTGGTTGGCTAACCTTTTACTCAGCTGTGCTTGTTAATCAGCAGTTACTGAAAGATAATAATATGCTTTTTTATGCCGAACAAGCCAGATTGATTTTACTCATTGAAATGGCGAAAAGACATTAGAACTAGGGAGGAACCTATCTATCTAATTAGGTACCTATGTAGTTAAAACCTGATTGAAAAAAAAACAACCGAATTGAGAACCTCCTCTTTTTGTTGAAGTCGGTTTAGAACAGTTGTTTTTTTAAAGATTATTAGCAATTTGTATTGCACAAATTACTAACAGTCCCGTTAGCCGCTTGTGTTACGAGTGGGCTCACCACAATAATTTCTAGGATTAAAGGTTAAGAACAAATTCTGGACTGTAGAGTTCTATACGATACCACTCTCTACCTATATTATGAATGCAAGCCTTACGTACGACTACCAGATTAAGTATGTGTCGGTAAAATTATGTTCTATCATCTATGTGACTACAATCAGTCTATGAAGCATAAGTATGCCTATTAATGCGTATTTATGTTTGCGGAGGCGCGGTCTTACGATGTCTTGTGCACGTCACAAACTGTCGCCAACAAAAAATTCGATACCACCGAAAATGGTATCCAAGCAACGGTCGCAAGGTAGTTGCAGTCGATATGTTGTACGCATCCAACATAACTAAGTCATATGTTCGCATTTGTATAGTGTAGTGGCATAAATCACGAGTAAGTACGATATTGTTGTTCCTTTCTAATGTCTTGTCCGGGTGAGTTTATGGCACAGGCCTAAAGGGTGGTTAGACAAAGATTTGGATCAATTTGTGGCGCCCAACGTGGTGGGCCTGTCATGACTTGTGTTTTTCGTAGCTTTTGCTTTTTACTGTCTTTATGTTGCTTAGTCGTCGTATTTTTTTTTATGCTAGACAAGTATTTTTTAATTTTTGATGTACCTATTTAATATTAACTTTATGTTTGACTACCTACACAGTTTTATTTAGGTTTAATTTCGACCCAAAGAAGTACAAGAGATAGTAATAAAATTAATTATTCTTTAATTTATTGTATGTATTATTGCACATCGTAGTTGCATTTCAAATGTTCCGGCTTCTTGATTTTACTAATTAATAGATTGATATCTTGATTCGTATGCTGTGTGCACTTGTCATTGGAGCTACAACAAGTCTTATTGCACTTTGTCTTTGTTCTCTGACTGTTTAAGAGCTTAGTAAGTGCTTTTCAAATTATTTATTTCTTGAAATTTTACAATTTTCCATAGTATACTGAACAACCTAGCTAAGTTTACACATTATTTTATTAGGCTCTTTAATAGGTACTCTTTATGTGTTTGTACTCTGTACACTCGTACTACAACTTAGGCCCTTGTAGTTATTAAATGAGTAGGTACTTACATAAAGTCTAATCCCGATTGATGTAACAAAATAGTGGAATAAAAAGCCACAGTTTTTATTTTCTCGTAAGTTTTCGTGACCCGAATTCGTACAAAACGCGCCTTCGGCTTTGACTATAATATTTTCGATACATTTCTAGCATTTACAAAAATTTCTGGCTAAAAAGTGAACATATTGCCTACATTTCCCATATCTTACGAACGTGGTCGCGTGTTTCAGAGGTTATTTAAATTCATAAGCGAACTCCAACAATGTTTACCGGCATGCATACGTAGGTACCTACATAGAGCCTTAATGATTGTAGGTTTATGCTAGAAAAGGCTGAATATTGAAGCAGTTAGATGCCTACTACGGTTCCTACATAATAATATGCGAAAGTCATACCTACGCCCGTATTCACAAACATTACTATGAGGTCTCACAGTGCTCGTGGATGCACAGGGTCACACATGAACCAATTACAGAGCTCTATTCAACGCTGTGCGTTCGATTTGCTGCTTTACTTAAGCAAGCATCGTTTATGAATACGGGCGATGTGTCTTTTGCTTGAAATGTGTAGTTGTTTGTGAGCGAGTCTCTAGGTTTATAATTATATCCCTGTGTATAATTTCAAACAGTTTATGACATCTGAGACGCCATAAATTCCCTGATTAACATCTTNCAGAAGAGCCTTCCAGCAGGACAAAGCACCGGGAGATCTATCATTAACCAATAACGTGGGCTGTTTACGGGCCCCCCATTGCGTGAACGTCTCACCAACTTCCAAAACTCATAATATAACAGTGATGCTTGGATGCTAGTTACGGTAGAACTCACTAAAAGAAGATTGCATATTGTAGTAGGTACAAAGCGAAATATAACACATAACACCTACAAACTTGAAAGGTAGGTAGGTTCCTTATAGGGTGTAGGATTTTACGAAACACTACGCCTAAGAGGATCAAACAGGGGCAAATAACTAACTCCACGCGTACGAAGTCGCTGGCGGCCACTAGTTTACATAAAATGATCGGTGATTTATCGTGCCGTAAATTTTTTCAAACTATCTTGGTGGGACAAATGCACCGCGATATCGACCTACCAGTCCTTTAAAAGGCAGTAGGCATTTATTTCGTTCGTTCGTTTCAGCCGAAAGACGTCCACTGCTGGACCAAGCAAGGCCTCCCCCAAGGATTTCCACAAAGACCGGTCCTGCGCCGCTCGCATCCAGGCACCTCCTGCGACCTTCACCATATCGTCGGTCCACCTAGTGGGAGGCCTGCCCACGCCACGTCTTCCGGTTCGTAGCCGCCACTCAAGAACTTTCCTGCCCCAGCGGCCATCAGTTCTATCAGCTATGTGCCCCACCCACTGCCACTTGATTTTAGCGATTCTGCGGGCTATGTCATTCACTTTGGTTCTCCTACATTTATTTAGTTCACTCAAACAAGCGCACAGCTTGACTGGAAGGGTTAACGGGACAATAATAATTTGTGAATTAAATGGACAAGAAAAACTTTTCCTGATATTATCGCGATAATATAAAGGCGCTCACAAAACTCTAATTAGTGTGGAAACTTAACGAACTTTGTATTCTCCTCGTACCTCGCACCACCTGGCCTAACGTCGATTAGCAGCTCGATAACTTGTGTCTAACCATCGGCTAATTGCCAAGTTTCTGAAATAATGACTGCCTACACCGTGCACCAGTTTCAGCTGATTAACTTGGATTCAAAGTTATGTAGGGCACCAGATTATAGGCTAGAATAACCTTATTTAAACACCCACCTTTTTAAAGGATTTACTCAATACTCAAATCTTTATTGCATTTCACAGTGTACATCATCCAAGAATGTATCGCTATATTTAATTTTATGAATTTTACCAGCACTACTTACTACACCTACCTACTTCTTAATAATATATTGCTGTATAAAAAGTAGGTACCTAAGTATATAAATGGTTTCGCTAGTAGATATAATTATGTTCATTTAAGTCTTTGAAGTATCCAAAGCTGAACATTTTTACCAAGCCTTAATTTCCAGCAAGAACACTCCTAGCCTAGCTATGGCTCCCCGTCAAACTACCTAAACAAGTCTTCGTCGTCCGAAGAATTATATTCTCGAAGTTCTTCTAATGCACTTATTGGTTGGTTTCAGAAGCCAAATAAAAATTTGGTACAGCTATTTCTGAAACTCTTTTTCTACAGGTCATGGCAACCGACAAGCAGCTGAGTATGGCGGCGAGCGCCATAGCGTTGCGTGGCGTCCGTCTTTTCCTAAGTGCTGGACGCAACGCCGTGGAGCGTCGAGCCCAGACGGCTGCGGAACCGGCCAAGCACCGACCCAAGCCGAAGCCCGTGGTCCCAGGGGCCAGGCCTCCGCAGAAGGTCTTTGATATGCTGGCTAGAACTTCTAAATTTAACAAGTAAGGGCGTAGACTAAGGAAAAAATAAACTGACTAACCCACCTCTCTTTTCCATCACTGCAACTCCTGTATAGCCATCCTCTTCAGCTTCGCCTCCAATGAAACCCAACCAGTGAAGGAACTGGAGAAGTAATATAAAAGGCAAAAGCAAAAAAAAAAACATTTAGGTAGCTGTGTAGAATCACAAATAGCTTTCAAAGATCTAGGGTACTTTGAAGCAACAGCAAGCGCAGTAACATGCATGGCATCCGTGTCTTTCACTGTGCTGATATCAAAGCTGTGGATAATTTTTGGGTCTAGAATACCTACACTTTTTACAAAAATGTGAGAGACATTTCTAACTTAGCATTATTATGTACCTAGTTATAGAGTTTGGAAAGTCAGGAATAGTTTGACCCACCGTAAAATTAAGAACATATAGCTTACAAGATTTAGGTTTTCCATTTCCTGGTCTAGTCACACAAATAACAGCAAATCCACGATTTTTCTTCATACTTAGGTTAAACTAACAACTTTACTTCAAAACAACTTGAAAAATATGTAGAGTCAATATTTCTGACAAGAGCTTTTTCGATCACTGCCACTGCCTATGCCAATGCTTTGCGGTTTTGAACAGTACTGAATGACTGAACAGAATTTTATTAAACGTTTCTTTAGCATTATAAAAAGCATTTTCAAAAGGCTGACAGCAATCCTATTATGATGACATAATAGAAATATATCAAGTAGTCTTCACAATATTGGGCATCTACGAGTACCTACTTTGTAAATAGGTAGCTGCTACACAAATTTGGACCTCCAAAAAAGATGCAGTGACCCTTGGCAAGATGGAGGCTTTGCATTAACACGAACTATTTGATCTTCCTAAGCAACGTCGTACGGTTCGTACCACAGAAAAACTAATAATACCTACTAGCGTATCCGAAATTTAGGTTACCGCAAGCTCCCGGTTGGTTAATTCCTTGATCTGGTCTAGAAAAAAATATTTATCTATGGTTTCGAACGTTCTGTTATCTCGCTAAAGTTTAAAATATGGTTGCATATTTCTGCTACCAAGAAATAAAGATTTAAAACGGCAATAGCCTACCGCTTAGGCTTTTACTATGGGGAAGATCCGAAGCCACAGGTTTGGGCGGGCGGCAGTGCTACCGGTGCGGCCTCGCGCGCCTGTCGACATGACTAACAAAAAGCTCAAGGAAAAAACGCTAGACACTTTGTATAGGAACACGCATTTCACCAAGTAAGTTCGTTTCGGAACTATATAGTTGCAATATGAAGGTGGATTAGTTTTGTGGATTATCTATATGAAATGAAGAAATTAATTGCATTGATGTTATATTTATTACGAGTAAATAAGGGACTTTAATTAATGAAAACAAAAACTAGTTGAAATACATAGTTGTGATTCTACAAACTCTACATTTTATGAAAATGATAAATACTCATTTAAGAAATCGTCAGCAGTGATACTATGTACACACATTTATAGTAAAAACAAATATCCGAGTCGCCTTACCGAAAGTTTAAAGTTTTAAAATTCGTGTACAAGCACGGTTATTACTTTATATTGCATGTGAATTGTGGACGTTTGTTAGTCGTATACCTCGAAATCAAAAAATCCTTGTAGCTTTTCACCTATTCGCATTTCGCCGCGATATCAAAATTTCTGAATAGATTTTTATTCTTGTAGTATAATTTTTGATCGCTAATTACAATTGTCTAAAAAATTCATAGTAGATTTACTTTCCTGCCTGTGTCGGCTTTATAAATAAATAGGCTATTGATAAAATACATGCCAAAATTTGCTACTGTTGTAAAAATCTGTTAAAAATATATGCTAATAACAAAATATAATATATACTACCGATATTACACAATACAACAAAAAACGCTATCACGGTGAAATGCGAATAGGTGAAAAGCTACAAGGATTTTTATATTTCGAGGTATACGACTAACAAACGATTGTGGAAGAAACACTTTATACTTACTACGACCCTCGGTTTGTCATCGAACAATGTGCTGAAAACTTACAAAATTTGACACCTTACAAAATAAATTACTGAAGTCGAACATGATTATACATACCTACAGCTATTATAGTGGTTTACTATGAAAGTATCTACATTTAAATCTCTTCACTACATACACCGTCATTCATTTATATGTAATGTAATGTAATGTTGTGGTGGAAATAAAGAATTTATATGGTCATTTACAGGTAGTGATTACAAAACAGGAGAATACAAAACAGAACTTTTCAACAAACAATGTGGAAGTTAATTTAATTCGAAATATAAATGTGCACAATATTGTCTATTTATATTATAATGATATTATTAGTTGTCCTATTAAATAAATAAAAATAAAATTATTAATTACTGCACAGGCATGAACTGGAGGCTCTGTACGCGATGTACCGGCGGCTGGTGACGGCCGCCCAGGGGATCTTGCCGCCCACCGCCATAGGACAACCGCCAGCGAAAGTCGATGTAAGTTTCCAAGTTCTCATTATCATAAGGATGTTAAAATTAACCTACCAGTACTATCTACGAACTACGTATTTCGAAGAGGAAAGTTTTCTGTTTAGATACTTGTATTTTATTATGTCGTCATATTTCTAAATTCTTGCTCCTACTACATTCTTGTAACTACTCGTAGATACTCGTAGGTACCATACCACGAGTATAACCTTGCACCATCAGCTTCAGCTTATAACCATTGCATAGCGTAGTTAATTTCACAGTTTTCTAAACCAATATAAAACAAGTTCTATGCAGATTCGTGCTGTTTCCGACGGAGCCTTAAAAGTATACGTTTTATGAGCCTTATTGGCAACACAATACTTTCATAATATCGCTCCAAGACCCATAAAATGAGCTATTACAAAAACTACCTTAGGTATAATCTTTACATGACGTGAACGGTATGCCTAGATTTATATTACGGTAAGGAAATTACTGATTCACTTTAAATTAGTTTCCTGAACAATAACATGTTTAGAGTCGACTATAAAAACTTTTAAATGATAACATTACCAACGCCTATTTTTCTTTTGTTGCCTTGAAACTTACTGTTCCCATTCATGCTTCAGTTTAGTCATAATTTTAATTTGTAAAAATGGCTGATGGAAACTCGTATTGTCCATTGACTTGGGGGGGCTTTCAATATGATTAAATTATGTTTGGTACAGGCATATATGCATAGCACATAACTATGTAAGATTTCTGCAGTAGGTAGTGGTGGTGCGGAAGAAGGGGTCTAATTGTTGTACATACAATAATGTGAGAACTATGTTACGTCACAGGTCACTAAAATCATAAAAAAATTATTCGCACCGCTCTACCACCCCATGAACCTACTCAGGTGCTACACCTGTTCTACATATAACTAACTATGGCTATCTATACAAAGTGTTAGTAAATGGGGTGCATATAAATGGTATGAAGTCAGAAAATTAATATCATTATTTTAATTTTCATACAAATCCTTATTTTAGAAATGTATTTATTTATGAAAATTTTAAAAAAATATGATATCAATATTCTGACTTTACCATACCATTTATATGCGTTAACATGGGCTAGTGTCGGCCTATAACCCCATTTACCTAACACCCTGTATACAAGTCATATTATAGAATTCTTTCGTATGAATTTGTGGAAGCTACGCGTACATGTCACGGAAAAGAAACGTGGAAAAATTATAATAAAAATAAACTTTTTTAAAAACAAGCTTTTATTCTGAATTTCGAAAGTTTGTATCGCGCATGGAATTTATTCCTCTTTTTCTCTGTTTGCGCTACAAGCTTTCGAAATTCAGAATAAAAGCTTGTTTTTAAAAAAGTTTATTTTTATTATAATTTTATTTTACACTTTTTAGTTATATCTTAATCTCAGGACCCTGAACGTTATCTAACACTAAAGTGCTCGAAAAGACAAATCCAACGAACCCAAACTCGATGAGTTTCCGCCGTTTTGTTTAGGAGTTCCTATGGCCACCTCCCGACTCCATCATCAGACCATCTCAATGCTACCATAATATTGCATTGTCATCGGACTTACACATGTATGCAAAATTTCAGCTCAATAGGAAACCGGGAAGTGGGTCAATTTTAAGTTGCAAGATTTGACGACAGACACCAGACATGTGAAAGTAATAAAAAGCTTGTAAAAACGACAATAAATCAAGCGTTCGCTACATTCGCATCGCTCCGCAGCGATCCAAAGAAAGTATTATGTATACGTATTTATATTGATTGGCCCTGGAAAGATTAGAACGGATGCCTTCAAATATGTTCCCAACATGATGCGAACGCTCGCGAGCGAAGATATGAGTTGGCTGGTGATATATTGCGTTGCTAGTGCGGTTAGGTAACGGACAGGTGGGACGGAAAAATTAATAGGACGGTACAAACTGGGACATTGTGCGTAGAATGAGAAGGGAACTGTTAGGCTGAGTTGCACTACCGTACTTTAACCGTAACAATAACAATGTAACCGGCGCTTTTTGTATGGAGTTTGACAGATTTTTGATTTTGACATTTGTCAAAGTTAAAGTAAGATGGTGCAACTTGCCTTAGCTTATAATTTCAATACACATTTAATATTATAAGTAGTCGAATACTAGAAAGATAAAGACACGATTAGAAACGTTCGATGGTGACACAAACAATCAACATCATCTCTGATTAGATCTGATCATAATCTGATGTGATGCCGATTGTTCACTATAGTTTGTTCAGAACATAGTTTCGATCTTTAAAAACTTTATAATGTCATTTGGGACATTTGGCACAACTTTTCTTTATGGGACAACATCGGGACGTCCCTACTAAATGACACAGGGAACAGCTCTAACTGATCCTGTGATATACAGTATGATAACTTCCAAAGCGCATAAACAAAATGAAGGGAATAATCGCTGATAAAACTTGAAATGGGGAATTTGAAACACCGCATCACGACACGGCACACTCGTATTAGGGCACTGATACGTAATTTTGGGCAATGAAATGCTAATAGGTTTTGTTCATGACACTGCTCGTGTCAGAAAGTTTCGATCTATTTGTCTTCAGAATACTACTACGGGAAATTACATAGGGACTAATAATAAACTGAAAGTTCGTTCGTTTCAGACAAATGACGTCCACTGCTGGACAAAGGCACAAGGACGCAAGGATTTCCATAACGAACGGTCCTGCGTTGCCCGCATCCAGGCTCTTCCCGCTTTTTCAGAAATTTAAGTATCTGAAAGAAAATCTATACACCACCCTAGTTAACCTTAATGATTTAATAATTCTATCATGATTTTGAATAAAAATATACTGAGTTGTGTTGTTAAGCGAACATGCATGAAATAATCAAACTATAGGCAGGTGGAGCTCTTCAATGTTATAGTCAAAGTTTTGTTTTTGCCAAATTAGTTTTACTTACTAACTACTAAACTAGGGCAATCTGTGCTGTGGCACAAATTTTATTATGGAATTTTCTGTGACCTATTTGGAGTCTGTTTATTTTCAGGGTATAGATCAAGGCACTTTCCGCGATGTGATGCACAACACCTTCGACATGATCACGGAAGAGGCCATCTTGGAAAGAATATGGATCACATGGGACCGCGGGGCGAGTGGTGGGGAGGGCGCCCTGAAGTTTGAAGCATGGGTGCGCGGGCTGAGCGTACTACTAAGAGGGACTGAGGAGGAGAGAAGGAACCACTGCTTTGCTGTATACGACCTGAATGCTGATGGATATATTACCAGGGATGAGATGTTCGTGCTGCTGAAGTGAGTATCGTAGATTCCTAGCTTGTGAAATAACTTGAGACCGGCCAAGTCCAAGTCTCGCACAGGAAACTTTTCATGGTCCATTCCATTGTAGCTCTACGAGATTGAATCTACTTTACGTCTTGCACGACACGACAGACATTAGAGGTATAGGTACTATGTTCACGTCGGCATTCGTTCGGTGAAAATACCTAAAAATATCTCTGGGCATAATAACAATCTTAAAAATCCTTGAAACTGTTATCGTTACCACATCCACTGTGGATTTTTTCTTTTTTCAGGAACTCCCTCCTCAAACAGCCAGGAGACGAAGACCCAGACGAAGGTGTACGGGATCTAGTAGAGCTGGTCCTCAGGAAGATGGACGTCGACAAGGACGGACGAGTATCTCCTGAAGACTACAAGTGGGTTACTTATTTTCGTTCATTTTATTGAGTTTTTTATTTAACCAGTTACTTACCAGCCAGGATTTGATGGATCATTATTTGTATTGCACAAATTACTACTAATAGTCCCAGTACCCCCTGTCGCTTAAACTGACTGAGGGAAGATGAAGATTTTTGTTACTTCAGTATATTTTTTTGTTTACAGAGATGCTGTAGAACAAGAACCACTGTTGTTAGAAGCATTCGGCCAATGTCTTCCATCCAGGCGTCACGCCCTTGCTTTCCTGAAAACTTTGAACCCTAAGCCCAAGGACTTACGGTCCTGAATAAGATAATTTAAAGTTTTAATTGAAGTCGGTGAAACGTCATTTTCATTTCATAATCCATCGCTAATGAAATTTAAATAGGGTCATATCGCGTGTTCGCGTCCACCTATCCACCTATTTATTAAATAAGTGATATCAAACATGTAAATAATTATGTGGATAACATGCATCTAGCATTCTTATGTTGTCGGATTAGCCTTGAATTTAGAGATAAGCGTTAATTAGTTTACCAACTTACGATAATAGTAATTAATTGTAAAATAATATTATGTAAGTATGAAACTGTAGCGGATAAAGTGAAGGTTAATAAAACTACGCCTTTTTACAATATAATTTATTTTTATTTTATAACTTATAAAAACTTGAATAAACTGTTTCAATGTTGAAAAAGTACTATCACCTACATAAACATAGTCGTACTAAATATTTTATATCAAAAATAAGATACAAGAAGACACACAAATAAAATGCATCCATAATAACACCCTATTTTATAGGTAGGTAGTAGGATTACTTACATTTCTATCACAGGAGTAACCTACGATCTTTGGCAGTAGATATTATTATTACATATGATTTGATTAGATGGTAACCAGATTTGTAATATTTTTACAAGCTAGTAATTAGTTATCTGTTTTTTATTGTTTAAGTGCTCTACTGTTTTATCAGAGTTTTGGTTATGTCACGACCTAAAAAACACAAATACACACACATATCGTCACCGTCGTGGCAGAATTAAATAACTGACAAAACCAAAGTTGCGAGATATTCACGTTTTTGTG